TTCTTGAATGCATAAGATATTAATCTTCCTATGAACCATAATATCTACTAATGTTATTAATTTATATGTTAGAGTATCCATATTCCAAGATCCTATCATAATATTAGTTTCGTGGGCTAACTTCTCTGCTCGCATTCGTTCATGACATAAGAACACATGCTTATTTAACACTACATTAACGTAATAATTTATTTTATGAAAATAAATAAATAAATATAAAATAACTTGTCAAATTATACTTAATGATAATGGAATTATTATTAATATTGATTCACAAATCTAATTCAAAATAGTTAATATACAAATATAATGGTGATGATGAAAGGAATGATTATATGATTGATGATGGGGATCACTTTCTCTCTTTAATCATTTCGGTCAATGTAAATAATTAATTATATGAAACTTAAATGACTTTTTTAATTTGAAAAAATAAATTTATGTTTACACATCTAACCTCCAAATTTCTATGTTAACTAAAGATTAATTAACGTGGGGATGAGGGAGTGTGCCTTAAATATGTCTTTATATATAAAAGATATGCATTAGATAATTAGTAATTTAGAATATGACCCCTCCATTTACATACGTACCCCACAATTCTCAATTCTCATGTATTTACAAATCTAACCCTATAAACAATCACATTTACGTCCATACCACTCGAATCCTTAACTTAACATCTAAAATACTACAATTATTATTTTTTAAAAAGTGATTCAACCCTGTCATCTTGTTAAAATTGAAAAAAACAAATCATGAAAATCACATTGTAGAGAAATATTTGTGTATGTCTAGCGTACGCAGAGCTGCGTACATCAGTAGGTTACAGGGAGGGTATTGGGGGGTTATATCGGCGTTATACCACTTGTAACATAACTGTAACCTACCTGTAACTAGTAATTTCTGCGCTTCTGTTTTCATATATTGTAAGTCACAGGGAGGTTACAGGGGGTATAACGCGGATATAACTCTCCAATACTCTCCCTGTAACCTACGGACGTACGCCTCTGTGTACGTTAAACATACGCAAATGTTTCCCCACATTGTCTAAATAGATGCTTCTTATTAAATGAATAAAAAAATTACGTATATATCAAATAATTCTCATTTATTTACATGTCTAATACCAAAAGTTAAAGATTTAATTTATAATTTTTTTAATTCCATAATTACTTCAAAATTAATGCCGAGGGTTTGATATGCAAATACACAAGAATAGTGTGGCATCCCCATGGATGAATATGTAAAGAAATTCAATATATTTACAAAGCTAATTATGAATAATTATTAAGGATTCATAAAGCTAATTAATACATTTAATATAAGAACATAATTATGATGATTAAAAGATTAATAATAAGATTGGTGATGATTGATTCATTTTCTTATCAAACAACATGATTTTATTTTAAGGTAAATTTTACATGAATACCACTGAGTTTTATGTATTTACATATGCATGAAAATGTGTAGTGATATTTCTCATGTGATATGAAAATTTTGGGTATTAGAGATGTAAAAAATCAAAATTTAGATTTTGCAAAAAAAATTAAAAAAAAAGCATGAAATAAAGCTAACCTTTAAAATAATATTTAGTATTAAGGAATGATTATGGAAGGTTCATAAAGTAAATTAAAGTAAATGAATAAATGTACAATGATGTTAAGATTAATAATAAGATTGGTGATGATTAATTCATTTTATATAAACCACCATGATTGTAGTTTACATAAATTAATGAAGTGATGAGCATGCGAGCATAGTAAATAAATGTGAGCTTAATCATATGAAATGTCTTTTGTCAATCATCACTCATATGTATATATAATTTTTAAAAAGGAATGACCTGAGGTTATTATAAGAGGCCCGACCATCCCCGATGTGCCTAACAATTCGAGTACCACACCCTCCACCGAGGGGAATCAAATCCTAGACCATAGGGTACTTATAACTAACAAGCAGATGTCCAACTAACTGATCTAAGTATGCAACACACACACACACAAACACACACACACACACA